TATTATTATATTATTATTTTCTCAGTTGTTTGTTGGGTTATCTTATTGAAACATGGGCAATGTATGATGAAAAGATACTTCTTAACGTACACCAAAAATGAAAGAAATCAGACCGTAAATAGCGGAATTCACTTCTCAGCCATTAGCGGCATATTTTTGTATGGTTTTTATGGTTATATTCTCATTTTTTTGGTCTCATTTCATAGAATGAAAGATATATTACAGAAATAGATATGATTTTGATTGCTTTCCTGACGAAAAGTACCTTGAAATTACGCTCACAGTAGCAGAAATGTTCTGTTCATTAGCAAAGCTCGAGAGTAAACAAATGACGTCACCGTCCAATACCTGTCCGCCTGCCAGTCCAAATTCCAATACAGCGTCAAGAATGGGTTGACATTATGTACACAATTACTACAATAATGCAGCAGTCTGCATAACAGTAAATCTTCTTTTTTTTTGTGAATAAAAATTCCAAATGGTAAGCAAGAGTAATATAAGAGGGGCCTGTAGCTGTGACTAATGAACAGAGAAAATATTTATTCTGGACCCTATTTTGAAATTGGCATCTGTTGCAATTTGTGTGAAATCGGCCAAATTGCCAATTTCTGACTACTTTATTGGGTAGTTGAAATAAGTGAATGGGCGGTTTCTTGTACTCAGTTGACAGACTAGAAGTAAATAAGTTTATTCAGGTATACACAAATACAGTTACATAGATTATCATACATAGCAGCGTATGTATAGAGAACCTTGGATAACCCAGAAAAGTCAGACAAAATGACTTATTTCCAATACCTGGCTTGGGCTTGCCATATATGATTTTTGGTAAATATTTTTTTTTCTCGGTTGTTTGCTGGCTATCTCATTGAAACTTGGGCAATGTATGATGGAAACATGCTTCTTAACGTACAACAAAAATAAAAAAGACGGACGATAAATAAGGGAGTTGACTTCTCAGCCATTAGCCGCTTCTTTGCAGTATATTTTCGTATGTTTTTTATGGTTGTATTCTCATTTTTTTGGACTCATTTGATAGAATGGAAGATACATTACAGAAATAGACATGATTTTGATTGCTTTCACGACGAAAAGTACCTTGAAATTGAGCTCAAAGTAGTGGAAATGTTTGATTTTTGCCGATGTTCAGTGAACTTTGTGTAAGTCAAGCTGGTTAATTTTATTAAGTGTATTCTAACCTAACCACTCTGTAAACCGGCAAACTCAGTTATCCGGCACACTACAGGTCCCAATGATGCCGGATTTGTGATGGAGGACCTGTAGTTGAAATTGTTGAATAAATTAATGAATACACTGCATAATCAAGTCAATAACAGATGTACTTTAGTGAGTTAGGTGAGGGGTTGGTCAGTCATTAGTGAGTAGTGCTAACCTTTCATGCATAGTTAGATGGTAGGTTAGTTAACTAGCAGTGAGAGCCAGGTATACCTAACACTACTTTTCATACACAATATGGGAACCATGACTCATAGTAATAACTAAAGGCTAAATACGAAGACAAAGTTGGAGCTATGAGATATGTGAATTATGCACACTACTACTAGAGTTAGGTTCGGTAAGATTTGTCAGGAAACAGGACGTGTTGTCTGACGCTGGTCTTAGTCATATTATAACCCGCCATTGGAGCTTTTGGCCATCTGACCAAGGCTTTCCACCGGCTTACCAGTCAACCCCTTTAAAAATTATAGTTATGATTATAATCACTTTTGATATTACTGCTAAGCTTTGATGCTCTGTATTGTTGCATCAGGGCCAAGACAACAATGTTGCTAGTAATAATGCTAGAATTACCAATAAAATGTTAGGTAATAGGACACAGATGCGACTAATGTGACATTTTACTGTGGCAACATTTCGTTCTTCAGGAACTTTATCATAACAGCTTAACAAAGCTCCTGGAGAGCAAAATGTTGCCACAATAAAATGTCAAAATAGTTGCATCTGTGTCCTTTTACCTAACAATGTTGTTATCAAGAGTTACTGTAATAAATGTGATTTTTTTTATTATTATTAACACATCTACCATCTCCCATCAAGGCAGGATGGCCTGAAAAAGAAAAACTTTCACCATCATTCACTCCATCACTGTCTTGCCAGAGACATGCTTACTACAGTTATAAAACTGCAACATTAATACCCCTCCTTCAGAGTGTAGGCACTGTACTTCCCATCTCCAGGACTCAAGTCCAGTCTGTCGGTTTCCCTGAATCCCTTCATGTTACCTTGCTCACACTCCAACAGCATGTCAAGTCCTAAAAACCATTTGCCTCCATTTGCTCCTATCTAACATGCTCGTGCATGCTTGCTGGAAGTCCAAGCCCCCCTCACACAAAACCTTCTTTACCCCCTCCCTCCAACCTTTCCTAGGCTGACCCCTACCCTGCCTTCCCTCCACTACAGATTTATACACTCTCGAAGTCATTCTATTTTGTTCCATCCTCTCTACATGTCTGAACCACCTCAACAACCCCTCCTCAGCCCTCTGGATAATAGTTTTAGTAATCCCGCACCTCCTCCTAATTTCCAAACTACAAATTCTCTGCATTATATTCACACCACACATTGCTCTCAGACATGACATCTCCACTGCCTCCAGCCTTCTCCTTGTTGCAACATTCACCACTCATGCTTCACACCCATATAAGAGCATTGGTATAACTATACTCTCATATATTCCCCTCTTTGCTTCCAATGACAAAGTTCTTTGTCTCCACAGACTCCCAAGTGCATCACTCACCCTTTTCCCCTCATCATGATCTTTCATAGACCCATCTGCTGACATATCCACTCCTAAATATCTGAATACATTCACCTCCTCCATACTCTCTCCCTCCAATCTGACTCCAATCTGATATCCAATCTTTCGTTACCTAATTTTTTTGTTATCCTCATCACCTTACTCTTTCCTATATTCACTTTTAATTTTCTTCTTTTACATACCCTACCAAACTCATCCACCAATCTCTGCAACTTCTCTTCAGAATTGCCCAAAAGCACAGTGTCATCAGTAGAGAGCAACTGTGACAACTCCCACTGTGTTAGATTCTTTATCTTTTAATCCCACACCTCTTGCCAACACCCAAGCATTCACTTCTCTTACAACCCCATCTATAAAAATATTGAACAACCATGGTGACATCACACATCCTTGTCTAAGGCTTACTTTTACTGGGAAATAATTACCCTCTCTCCTACATACTCTAACCTGAGCCTCACACTCCTCATAAAAACTCTTCACTGCTTTCAGTAACCTACCTCCTGTTCCATATATTTGTATCATCTGCCACATTGCCCCCCTATCCACCCTGTTATATGCCTTTTCCAAATCCATAAATGCCACAAAAACCTCTCTACCCTTATCTATATACTACTCACCTATATGTTTCACTGTAAACACTTGGTCTATACACCCCATACCTTTCCTATAGCCTCCTTGTTCATCTGCTATCCTACTCTTCATCTTGCACTTAATTCTTTCAGTAATAACTCTACTATACACTTTACCCGGTATACTCAACAGGCTTTTTTTTTTCAACAAACTTGCCATATCCCACTGAAGTAGGGTGGCCCAAAAAGAAAAACAAAAGGTTCTCTTTTTAACTTTAGTAATGTATAGAGGAGAAGGGGTTACTAGTCCCTTGCTCCTGGCATTTTAGTCACCCCTTACTACACACATGGCTTATGGAGGAAGAGTTCTGTTCCACTTCCCCATAGAGTCAAGAGGAAATAAACAAGAACAGAAACTAGTAAGAAAATACAAGAAAACCCATAGGGGTGTGTATATATATGCTTGTACATGGATGTGAAGTGTGACCTAATTGTAAGTAGAAATAGCAAGACTTACCTGATATCTTGCATGTTTCTTTCTTTCTTTCAACACACTAGCCGTATCCCATTGAGGTGGGGTGGTCCAAAAGGTAAAACAAGTTTCTCCTTTTATATTTAGTAATATATACAGGAGAAGAGGTTACTAGCCCCTTGCTCCCTGCATTTTAGTTGCCTCTTATGACATGCCTGGCTTACGAAGGAAGGATTCTGTTCCACTTTCCCGTGGAGATAAGAGGAAATAAACAAGAATAAGAGCTAGTAAGAAAACAGAAGAAAACCCAGAGGTGTGTGTGTATATATATTATATATGTGCATACTGTATATATATAATAACTGTTTTTGCAGTGATTATGTGTGAGTGAGGTGAAAGTATTGAATGATGATGAAAGTATTTTCTTTTTGGGGATTTTCTTTCTTTTTTAGGTCACCCTGCCTCAGTGGGAGATGGCCGACTTGTTGAAAAAAAAAATGCATGTGTAGTGTGACCTAAGTGTAAGTAGAAGTAGCAAGACATACCTGAAATCTTGAATGTTTATGAGACAAAAAAGACGCCAGCAATCCTACCATCATGTAAAACAATTACAGGCTTTAGTTTTACACTCACTTGGCAGGATGGTAGTACCTCCCTGGGTGGTTAATGTCTACCACCTACTTCCTAGGTCAACAGATTTATTCCCCTATAATTTTTGCACTCTCTTTTGTCCCCTTTGCCTTTATACAAAGCAAATATGCATGCTCTCTGATAATCCCTAGGTACCTTACCCTCTTCCATAAATTTATTAAATAAATGTGAAGTGTTTATGTATTTAGTTTTCTTAGATTGGATGTGTTCATTAAGTGGAATATCACATACTGTATTAGGTTCTGAAGATAGTTAACTATTGTCTTATTCAATTTGTATACAATGTAAAGACAATTCATTAATGTGTTAAACTGTTTTGAATCCCATTTTAATTTCTCATTAGTAAGAGCAGTGTTTCAATACTATTACTGTATTTGCAACTAAATTTCTACTGTATCTGGCTTTAAGTGATGTACGTATAACTATTAAGTGGATAGTGTAGAAATTAATGGAGGAATGTTACTCTGACAATGACATTTTAGTCTGCATTTATATGTTTTTATTTTAAAAGGAGATCTATATATTTCAGCACTTATTCCTCACATTGGGAGTGCTGAAGCTACAACAAGAGAAGCTATGGCCACTTTGACAGCTACAAACATCGTTGCTGGCCTGGAGGGTCATCCCATGCCAGCTGCCCTCTGTTGATACCTCCACTGAAATCTTTATTCATTAATTTGAGAATGGTCCCTATAATCTATTGTTTATAAGATTCTTTAACTGAAATAAAAGATTTATCTTATGTTGTAAAATGTATTTATATGAATGTATATCATATATGAAGTGAAATAAAAAAAAGTTATGCAACATTTTAGAGGAAGAACCTAAATGTTTTTTTATTGTAAAAATTTGAATGCTAGGTGATGTTGAAGACTACTCTGGCTGCAGGCTGTACAGGCACTTTTCAATGGTATTTTAACTGAACTGTGATAGGTATTATTTTAAAAATTAATTTTTTTGTAAGATTCAAAGAAGAAGCTTGCAAGAGGAAACTAGATAACCACTTCCTGCAGGGTGTGATACCTTGTGAAGCTACAGGTTGCTAATCTTCCACCTCCTCATTTTCCCTTCCCTGTCTCTGTACCTGGTTCTCCCCCTCTCACTGGCTCTGTTACAAGTGTAGAGGTTCACCCTCCTCCTCGTACTGTACCTTCCTTCCCTGTTCCCTCCCAAGTTTCTTCCTCTTCTGCCACCTCCCAGGTTTCTGCCTCTTCTGTCCCCTTCCACGCTTCTCCAGTTCCCTCTACCCTTCCGTCCCCCCCTACCTTGGTACAGTCCATTACAGTTCCAATCTTTACTCATCCTCCCCCTACCATTTCCAATATTGTCTCCCATACGACGTCTCTGAATTCTGAAACACTTGAAGCAATCTCTGAATATATTGCAGAGACCAAACCATCAATGGACACTGATCCACCCTCCGCTCCTTCTCTCTCCTCTACTCCATCTGCGCAACTCCTTTCTTCACAGCGCACCGTTCCTTCGCTGCTTGAACATTTTCCACTGCCTCCGCATGTGGACTTTTCTAACCCCTCTAGTCCGTAGGAACCCTTACCTGCGGATTTCAGGTATCTTTATCATTGCCAATCATGGCCTATTTACAGTGGAATATACGTGGCCTCAGGGGTAATCGGGGTGAGCTTCAGATGTTACTCTCCCAGTTTTCCCCTGTTGGTGTTTGCTTACAGGAACCAAAATTACACTCTGCTGTTATCTCTCCCATCTCAGGCTATAATTTATTGTATTCTTCAGATCCTTTTCCTGATGGACCTTTAATGAAAGTGCCCTTCTTCTACGCACTGATATTCCGTACCATCGCTATTTGTTCGTACTTCGCTGCATTACACAGCAGCCCGTATCCACTTGCATAGGTGGTATACGCTCTGTTCTTTATATCTCTCTCCTTCTCGGGCATTATCTATTCCGGATATTGCCTTTCTTGTTTCGTCATTACCACCACCGATTCTGTTACTTGTGATTTTAATGCCCACCATTTCCTCTGGGGGGGTCTCATTGTGATTCCCGTGGCATTCAGTTAGAGGCTTTTCTTGCCACCCACCCCCTTCATGTTTTAAATACAGGTACTCACACCCATTTTGATCCTCGACTCACACTCTCTCTTGCATCGATCTCTCAGTCTGCTCTTCCTCCGCCGCATTAGACTTCACTTGGTCTGTTCTTCCGGACTACATGACAGCGATCATTTCCAATCATTCTTACTTCCCCTTCATATTCACCACCTCTTCGCATCCCACGCTGGCAATTTGATCAGGCAAATTGGAACCTTTACTCACACCTAACTGTTTTTAGAGAGGTTCCTTCTTCGTCCTCCATCGATGAGCTTTTACACCTCTTCTCGTCCTCCGTTTTAACCGCAGCTTCTCATTCTATACCCCAAACTTCGGGCAGGCATTCTTAGAAATGCGTGCCTTGGTGGTCTCCTGCTTGTGCTCGTGCAGTACGTTTGAAACGCACTGCATGGGGCAGGTACCGGTACAATAGAACCACAGAGAGACTTCTTGAATTTAAGCAGAAGCGTGCGATCGCTCGCCGTGTCATCCGTGATGCTAAACGCACTTGCTGGCGAGATTGTCTCCACCATCACCTCTGCTTCCTCTATGAGTGCAGTCTGGAAAAAAGTACGAAAACTGAGTGGTAAATATTCTCCTGACCCGACTCCTGTTCTGCGGGTTGCCGGTGTTGATATAGCAAACTCACTAGATGTTGCCAATGAAATTGGCAATCATCTGGTCCGTATTTCTCAGGGACTCCATCTATGTCCCTCATTTCTTTCCTCAAAGTCTGCCAGAGAGTTAGCACCCTTGGACTTTTCTTCTCTCAGAGAAGAACAGTATAATGTGCCTTTTACACTTCAAGAACCGGAGGCAACACTCTCAGCTTGCCGATCATCGGCAGCTGGGCCCGACGACATTCATATTCGTATGCTACAACATTACATCAGTCAGCCCTTGCAGTCCTATTAACGCCTTTACAATCTTATTTGGTCACAAGGAGTTCTTCCACAGCTGTGGAAATCCGCCATTGTTCTCCCTTTCTGCAAACCAGGCACTACGGGACATGAAACCTCCCACTATCGTCCCATTGCTCTTACCAGTGCAGTTTGCAAAGTGATGGAATGCCTAGTAAATAGACGTTTAGTGTGGTATTTGAGACACCAACAGTCTCTCCACTCGTCAATATGGCTTTCGTAAGGGACGTTCTACCATAGACCCCTTACTATGCTTTGGATACGTATGTTCGTAATGCCTTTGCGAATAACCACTCAGTTATTGCCATATTTTTTGACCTTGAGAAGGCATATGACACAACTTGGAGGTATAATATTTTAGCCCAAGCCCACTCAGGCCTTCGAGGCAATCTACCATCCTTCCTTAAGAACTTTTTAACTGACAGGCATTTCCGTGTTCGGGTTAATAATGTGCTCTCCCCGGACTTTATCCAAGCTGAAGGTGTCCCCCAGGGATGTGTTCTGAGCACAACACTTTTTCTCCTTGCTATTAATTGATTTGGTCTCTAGTCTTCATCAATATTTGGTCATCACTCTATGTTGATGACTTCGCTATTGCCTGTGCAGGCGCTGACTGTCACCTTATTACAAGTTTCTCTCAGCATGCAGTCGACCGTGTTTTCCAATTGGCACCACACGTGGGTTTAAATTTTCCAGCACTAAAACCCACGAAATTACTTTCACTAGACGCTCTGTCACTCTCACGATTATCCTTTGTACCTCTATGGCTCCCGTATCCCTGAACGTGATACAGTCAAGTTTCTGGGCCTCCTCTTTGATGGTAGGTTATCCTGGAAACCTCACATTACCTCTCTGAAGGCAACTTGCCACGCTGCTGAACCTCCTTAAAACCCTTGCTCATCTTTCATGGGAGCTGATCGTCGAACCCTCCTTCGCCTACATTCCACCCTTATCTTATCGAAACTTGATTATGGTGACCAGATCTATTTCAGCGCATCTCCTGCTACTCTCTCTAGCCTTAACCCCATTCATCACCAAGGATTACGTTTATGCCTTGGTGCTTTTCGCTCTTCCCCTGTCGAGAGCCTCTATGCAGAAGCGAACGTTCCATCCTTATCCGATCGCCGTGATGCCCATTGCCTTCGCTACTATGTATGCTCTCATGATCTCCGCAATCCTTCCATTTATAGAATGGTCACTGATATTAGTAGACATTCTTTATTTGTTTGCCGCCCTGTTTACTCCGTTCCCTTCTCTCTTCACCTTCATTCGCTCTTGTCTTCTCTTCAATTACCACCTTTCTGTGTACATGTAGCATCTCACTTTTCCCTCCCCCTGGGAAGTTCCAGCTGTTCGAGTTTGTTCTTTCTCTCTCCCTTGCTCGAAAGCCCAACTGTCTACGGTCGCTTCCCGCTCTCATTTTCTTGACCATTTCACTCTCATTCTCATGCCATTGCTGTGTACACAGATGGCTCTAAGTCTTCTGACGGCGTAGGATTCGCAGCAGTGTTTCCGGACAGCGTCGTACAAGGGCATCTACTATCTTCGCTATATTTTTACTGCTGAATTGTATGCCATCCTTCAGCATTTATCCGTATTGCATCTATGCCTGTGTCATCATTTGTGGTTGTCTCAGACTCCCTTAGTGCTTTACAGGCTATACAGAAATTTGATGCACCTCACCCCTTAGCCCTCCATATCCAACTTTGGCTACGCCACATCTTTACCAAGCAAAAAGATATTGTTTTTTGTTGGGTCCCTGGTCATGTTGACTTTACAGGGCAATGAACAGGCAGACACTGCTGCGGGGTCAGCAGTACATGACCTACCAGTTTCATGTAGAGGTATTCCTTTTACAGACATTTTGCTGCAATATCTTCCCAACTTCAAAACCCGTGGCAACAACTTTGGTCAAACTATGCTCGGCAACAAACTTCAATCTATTAAACCGAGTATAGGTTACGGGCCGTCTTCTTATCCCCAGTGTCGGGGTTTGGGAACTACTCTCTCCCGTCTTCGCATTGGCCTACTCGTTTACTCATGGATATCTCATGGAGAGGCGCCCTGCTCCTTCTGTGAGAATTCCCAAGTTCCATTATCAGTTAGCCACATTTGTTGGACTGCCCACTTATCAATGAGCACGCAGAATTTACCTCCGTCGCGTCTTCGCTCTGCTGCTCTCTCTTTACCTTCCCTTCTCGCTGATGGACCCACCTTTCATCCAGACTCTCTCATTGACTTTTTGACAACAACTGACTTACTTCACAAATTCTGATACCTTCAGCCCTTTCTACTTCAATCACTTGCTACCCTCTACCCCCGTACTATCCCCTGCCCCGCTGTTTTCTGTAACCTACTGATCATCCCTCCTCCCTTCTGCCATCCAATACCCTCGCTTCCTTCCCTACCCTGCAGCGCTGTATAGCCCTTGTGGCTTAGCGCTTCTTTTTGATTATAATAATAATACAGGTTGCTAGTAGCATTAGCCAGGTTGACAAGGCAGTCAACAAGGAGGTGTAGCCCTGGCCTGGGCTTCCAGGGTGGAAGAACCCTGAAAACTGACCATGTGTATGCAAAATTATCTCAGTCAACCTGTAAATATAATTTTTTTTTTTTTTTTTTTTTTTTCAACAAGTCGGCCGTCTCCCACCGAGGCAGGGTGACCCAAAAAAGAAAGAAAATCCCCAAAAAGAAAATACTTTCATCATCATTCAACACTTTCACCACACTCGCACATTATCACTGTTTTTGCAGAGGTGCTCAGAATACAACAGTCTAGAAGCATACACATATAAAGATACACAACATATCCCTCCAA